AGTTTGCTAAAAAACACCTGAAGGCCTCCAAGAAATCATCAGAATAAGATTCTCTGGTCTGATGAGACCAAGATAGAACTTTTTGGCCTTAATTCTAAGCGGTATGTGTGGAGAAAACCAGGCACTGCTCATCACCTGTCCAATACAGTCCCAACAGTGAAGCATGGTGGTGGCAGCATCATGCTGTGGGTTTTTTTTTCAGCTGCAGGGACAGGACGACTGTGTAACGAATCAGCTCATGTGAAATATGAATAACTAACCATAACTAACGAAGGAGTGGCTTCACAACAACTCTGTGACTGTTCTTGAATGGCCCAGCCAGGGCCCTGACTTAAACCCAATTGAGCATCTCTGGAGAGACCTACAAATGGCTGTCCACCAACGTTTACCATCTAACCTGACAGAACTGGAGAGGATCTGCCAGGAGGAATGGCAGAGGATCCCCAAATCCAGGTGTGAAAAACTTGTTGCATCTTTCCCAAAAAGACTCATGGCTGTATTAGATCAAAAGGGTGCTTCTACTAAATACTGAGCAAAGGGTCTGAATACCTAGGACCATGTGATATTTCAGTTTTTCTTTTTTAATAAATCTGCAAAAATGTCAACAATTCTGTGTTTTTCTGTCAATATGGGGTGCTGTGTGTACATTAATGAGGAAAAGAAATTAACTTAAATGATTTTAGCAAATGGCTGCAATATAACAAAGAGTGAAAAATTTAAGGGGGTCTGAATACTTTCCGTACCCACTGTATATATATATTTGGCATGTCCGAGAACGGTCAATTAAAATTGCATGTGATAATAGAAGCAAAACAGACATTTCTTGTTTTGATTTCGTAAATCCACTTCACTTCGGCTATCATGTTTGATAACATTTTACAACTGTCAGTTTAACGAGGTAAATTTGCTATCAGTGTAGCAGATGGTTTTATCTATGCTATCCAAAAATATTGAGACCGTCTAATATTCACTATCTTAACTTACATAAAGTGTATTTAGTTAAACTTTTACACAGTTAAATCAATTTTTGTAACACAAAACATTTGAGCAATCACACAAATATGGCATATAAACTTTGAAATAAATACATTTGTTTGTTTTATGTAGAGTAACAAACTGGAAACCAACAGTAATGCAGTTAAATCAATTTGCCATAGGACTTGCTCGAAGGAATAGTTCACCCGTAAACAAACATTTGTATGACTATTTACACTGTTATGACTGACTTTCTTCAGTGGAACACAAAATAAAATGTTTTGAAGAATGTTCATGCTGCTCTTTGCCATGCAATGCAAATGGGCTGTAAAAGTCTAAAGAGTTTTGTGAATATTCTTCAAAGTTTCATCTCATCTCGTTTTGGGTTCCACTAAGAAAGTCAGTCGCACAGGTTTTGAAACAACATGAAGGTGAGTACGTGATGACCAAAATGTAATTTTTGGGTGAACTATTCCTTTAATTCACCAGATTTGGATGACAAGTTTATGGGCGTAGACAGATTTTCATACACAATCTCTCATGAAGAAAAAACACCTTGCTTTTGGCACAAACACAATGTGAGGAAAAATGTGTGCAGTGCAGGAGCTGAGATAAACTCTGAGGCAATTCTTCTCACAATGTTGACAGAAGCCTTTCCATTTCTTTGAAGGTTTATTTGTATCATGGACTCGGAGTTAAAGCAATAGTTCACCCAAAAATGTGGTTAAAATGTACTTGCCCTCAAGCCATCCAAAAGATATAGATGAGCTTGCTTCTTCCTGGGAACAGATTTAGAAAAATGTAGCATTACATCACTTGTTCACCAGTGGATCCTCTGCAGTGAATGGGTGCCGTCAGAATGAGAGTCCAAACAGCTGATAAAAACATCACAATAATCCACAAGTAATCCACACCACTCCAGTCCATCAATTAGTGTCTTGTGAAGTGAAAAGCTGAGTGTTTATATGAAACAAATGTATCAGTAAGATGTTTTCACTTTAAACCTTCGCTTCTGGCCAAAATATCGGTCGATAATCCATAATAACGCTTCCTCCAGTGAAAAAGTCCATCCTCTGTTGTCCTCTCACATCAAAATCCACCAACGTATTTGTTTAGAACTGTTTTTTGCTTGTAAACGGTTCTTGATCTGTGCATATTTCTTTCCCGATTCAGAAGAGATTACTTTTTCACTGGAGAAATCAATATAAATTCAAATCAAAGTTAAAAACGTCTCATTGATGATTTTGTTTCTTACAAACATACAGCTTTTAATTTCACAAGACATTAACTGATGGACTGGAGTGGTGTGGATTACTTGTGGATTATCAAGATGTTTTTATCAGCTGTTTGGACTCTCAATCTGACGGCACCCATTCACTGCAGAGCATCCATTGGTGAACAAGTGATGTAATGCTACATTTCTCCAAATCTGATGAAGAAACAAACTCATCTACATCTTGGATGTCCTGAGGGTGAGTACATTTTCAGCAGATTATCATTGTTAGCTAAAGGAACTATTCCTTTAAGCATGTTAATTTCACTGAAATGTCTCAATTTCTCTCATCCACCACAACAACAGCATGAAGAAAACAACCTGGTGTATTTGCTATAAATACAAAGATATAACGCTAACAGTAGTAAGATGCCGTTACTCGATCTCCTCTCATGAAGCTCAGTCAGTCGTCCAACTCGAGGCCAAAGTGACTGTACAAGTCTCGTGTGGTCACTCCACGCAGGCCGGCTAAGAGACACAGAGAGACAGTTGTCTTTGTCAATGATCACATGGGGGACAATGACGTGACACAGACCCCCTCTGGCCCTCAGACCAGCTGAAGTCACAGCAAGGCTGAAGCGGGCAAGAAACTCAGCATGCTGGGAGTCTGAAAGGGTCCATTATATTACAGAATGCAGCGATAATACCAGAGGATGCCATTATCATAATCCTGACACTAGACAGAAATGCCAAGCATATAGAGGCTGTAACCCACTTATATGAGTGGGATGGGAGATGTGTGTAGGCCACAAGTGTTTATGGAGAGGAGATAAACAGTTAACACAGTATGAAATGTGAAATATGTTGAGTATCAGACCAACATAAATCACGATGGCAGGTTTTACCTAATTTGCCCAGCAGAGTTTGTCCGATGTCTTTGATGTCATTGTATTCGTGCAGCAGGTCGATGTGTCGATCCAGCTCTTGTACAACAAATCCTCTACAAACACAAGAACAGAGGAACACAAGCTCCGTTTAATATGACAATAAATCAGAATGAAGCACTTTCTTTTCTTAGGTAGTATAACAATGTAATAAACAACAAAGAACCAGATTATTTGAGATATTTTTATGTATTGTATTAAAGGAATAGCCTCATATATGAAATAATTGTCACAAAAATATACATTTCTGAAATGCAACAGTTTATATATATATATATATATATATATATAAAGTCACATGAACTTGAAGTTAAATGAGGACATAGCTAAAAAAAAAAAACTATGAATTATCAATCAGACGACAGAAGGCATGTAGTGGACAGTGTATAATACCTTTTCAGCCAAATTTTAACCATGTTAATAATTTAGAGGCCTTAGAAGATTGTATCCCATATGATTCAGTAGGCATCAAGGGGTTAACAGTGCTGCTTTCGTTATTTCATTTCATTGAGTTCAATTTCACTAAATGGAAAAGAGTGAAGGATGGTCTTCAGAACATATTCAGTGTGCCACAAAAAAAAAAGAACGTCATGCAGGTTTAGCACGACATGAGGGTGAGTAAATAATGGCAAATTGTAATGTATGGGTAAATTATTCCTATTAAAATGTTGCATATGAGTTCTAAAACAACTCTAATGGAATCACTTGCCATCTCCCACATTTTTCACATTACATTTTTTCTGCAGTGCACATTTTTAAGTTTTTTTAAGAATCTCCCAACAACCTTAAACTAAAAAAATAATTCTGAACCTAATATTCCTTGCTATCGTCAGTATGAACATACAACAGCATATTGTATCTCTTTTTTTTCTAACATTCACTACCTACTCCTTTTCCAACAAGGCGATCTCTGAATCCAGCCGATCAAGAGTTTTCTTGAGCTCCTGGACTTCTACCTCAGGGCACACTGGAGATTTCACCATACTAGGCTTCTGCACCTGTGACAGACCACAGACAGCTCACCACATATGCATATCTATGGCAAGCCGTTTTAACATTTAATCTATAAACCGCACTAGTATCTAATTTAATGTTACTAGTACTTATTTTTTAGATACTAGTATATTTTCCATTAAATACTAGTACTTATTCATTAAAGGGTCATGAAAACCCAGACTACTTTTTCTGAGATTTTAGCAGAGGTGTTTGTGTTGCACATCATAGAAGACAATGTTAACATCCGATAATTTTAACTGTTGGAGAAAACTGGTTAATTTTAAGCTTTTTTGCGCTATTTTCATCTTCCGGGTTTAAAATCTACATTGTGCTGACGTCACAATTTGTGACGTGGCAATGGACTAATAGTACATCGATGACGCGTCGTGTCTATTTAATTATTCATGAGACTGCGTGTTCTTATCCTATGAGAAGACGCTTCGCTTAATTATTCACAACAGCATGTGTTGATCTGCTATGACAGACATTTCAGAGTCTGTGAGATGACATCGCGCACAATAACTGAGAGAAACGTTCATGGATCGAAGAAGAGTGTTTGTTTTTGCTTTGTAATAAGAGTTCGGCACAAACGCGATTCATTCACTTGGTGAGCATAACCATTTTTACAGCTCTCTGACACAACTCGTCAAAAGGCTTTTATAAACGCTACAGAATAAGCCTTAAAAGTTCTCAGAGGTGCAACAGCACGTTCATATATATGTTTTCGATGCAGAGTGCAAATGGCTGTGCATTTATTTGTGTTTTTAACTTGATGGGAGCAAAATTAAACTGTCAGAACGCTAAGCTGTGTGTGTGTTGTCCTCCGCTCCACACCACGCTCACTTTTTTCAGCATTTAAAAAAAAACTGTGGTGAGAACTAACCAGTGCTGAAACGGGGGGTTTCATGACCCTTTAACTACTAGTATTTATTCTTTAGGTACTAGTGTCTTTTGTAAAGTTACTAGTACTTATTCATTAGATACTAGTACTCATTCATTAGGTACTAGTACTCATTCATTAGATACTAGTACTCATTCATTAGATACTAGTACTTATCCATTAGATACTAGTACCTATTAAATAGATACTAGTACTTATCCATTAGATACTAGTACCTATTAAATAGATACTAGTACTTATCCATTAGATACTAGTACTTATCCATTAGATACTAGTACCTATTAAATAGATACTAGTACTTATTCAATAGATACTAGTACACATTTATTAGATACTAGTACTTATTCTTAATGTTACGAGTAAGATTTTTTATTTTACTAGTAAATTATTAATTGAACTCTACTGTAGCCATTTGGACTAGTCATAACATAAGACGAGTAAAAAAGCAGATCTGACTAGTAAGATAAGAATAGTTACTAGTAGTAATTACAAAAGATACTAGTGTCTAATAAATAAGTAGTAGTACCTAATGAAGAACTACTAGTATCTATTAAATAGTTACTAGTATCTAATGAATTTGTACCAGTATCTCATAAATAAGTACTAGTATCTAATGAATGCTTACTAGTAATATTGATATATATACTAGTCACTATTGCAATAATTACTACTCAGAAATGAAAAGATGATATCAAAAACAGAACAACTCCCTGTTCATTTGGAGATATCTTCAACCTCATAAAGAACTAGTGAGAATGTATTTGGAGATATCTTCATTTAAACAGATCATTACATAAACATGAATACCTCTCCACCATCCAATCAGAGTCCACATGGTAATACAATACATTAATATGCTGAATTAATTTGATTGTTAAGTAGAGCTAACTGGCTTTGTATGTTAGACTATCTTGCTAATTGGTTATCATGGAAAGACTACAAACCTCACCTGTAGTCCAACAAAAGTATAATGATATGTTTTAGTCCAAATTCACTACACAACATCAGTCGAGTCTTTGAAATAACGTATTTTTGTGATCTGACATGGTTTCATTAAACAGAATGAGGCAGAAATCATGCCACTTTATATTATTCTATAAGTTACAGTGATAAAGGCTATGTCGATTAGCATTGCATTTTAAATATACTTTATTCTTATAAAAATACCCAAGATGGCTTGAAAAACAAAGATAAAACCATATATTGTCGCAATCATTGTTTATTTTCTTCATGTTTCATCAGTAAAACGCCTATCTGCATGCTATTCAGCTAATAGGCTACATCTACAGCGAAAGCCACATGTCTTTGTCCATATAAGGGATTTCCTGGAACGTCATCAGTGAGTCTCACTTGTGTTTGACTTGTTAATACTCTAAATCCCTCGCAGCAGGTTGTTTGTTCTTACTCACTGTTAAAATCCAATTGTCATTGTACCTCAACAGGCAAATGTTATTTGCAAAATGTTCTCACTTGTGGAGTTTCTGCGACCCTCAGGCGACGAGTATGAATGAAAAAGAAATTACAATTGAGTACTCATTATTGCTCACAAAATCCTAATTTGGGTAAAAATAGCAAAAATTATTAAGAACTTTGAGGTAAACATTTGCAAATCCGTTTCTCTCAAGTGTAGAGAAGTGTAAATTTTTTTCTTTTTCTTGCAGCTATATTTATTATTAAATACACAGTTTTGTATATTATAGTGAAATAGTGTTATTACAAAAGTAATATTCCTTATTTTGTTTAATGTTTTTATTTAGAAATAATAACCATAACCATAATCATTATTAGTTATGATAAAAACAACATTTTGGGGCAAATTGTGCAGCCCTACAAGTACAGCAAACCTGGTGTTTGTTTTTTTTATTAATAATTTTTGACCTTTTTTTCCAAATAAATGTTTGTCTGAAAACCATAAGGTTTGGATTTTGTGTGCCCTGTACAGAACATTAATGTGAAAACATTCAGTGTCTGTAGCACCAGTGCTATATGCAAAAAAGTTAACGTACAGCCCTGATATTATATTTATTGTTTTAACTGGAGGAAAAAGAGGAAAATAATATATAATAAAATTGGTGTCTTATCTCCATCCTGCCACCAGAGGTCACTAGTACAATGACCAACTAACACATTAGGCTACTGTTTACGAAATTACAGTGTTAACAAAACTGACAAAAATACGTTTTTAATGATTGTTTTTTTTCTATGTGGTTTCCTCAAAAAAAGTACATCTGTCTCCTTGCTTTCGTTTCCTGTCTAAACTCTCTCCTATATGTTGCTGGCTCATTAATATTCAACATACGATTACCATACTGGGCAGAAATGCTAATTTAAAAAGTACTAGTATTTATTAATTTCGGGATATCTTTGGTCGAAAAGGTTACTAGTAACTAAAAAATAAGTACTTGGTCAAAAAGGTTACTAGTAACTAAAAAATAAGTACTAGTTCTATTTTTCTTAAGAAGAGTATAATTAAATACTAGTCACTATTGGAATAAGTACTAGTATCTAATAAATAAGAACTAGTATCTAACGAATAAGTACTAGTAACTTTACAAAAGACACTAGTACCTAAAGAATAAACACTAGTAGCTAAAGAATAAGCACTAGTAGCTAAAGAATAAGCACTAGTAGCTAGTAACTAAAGAATAAGCACTAGTA